AAATTTTGTGTACAGGATTTAGTGTTAGTCATGATTGTATATATAAAGTGATAATTTTGTACATTCACTGGTAACTATTTGGTAAAGTAAAAGGCTTAGATTTGAATTACCTGAATTGCTAAGTAAGAACTCAATAGGTCTCGAGCCTTGTGCATTTGTGGGCCCCGCTCACGAGTGCACGGCGTCTGTTTCACTCTCGGTTTGGGGCGTGACATTCCCATTATGGGATGAGGCTACTGCATCAATAGAATCTTGTGGACTAATAGACCGAGTATGCCCCGCGTCCAATACTGGGGTAATGTCATATGCAAGATCTACAACATTGTGACATCCTCGTCTCTCTGATGTGCTGTGACTACGCGCAAAGTTGATTGGCTCACCCGACATCCTGCAAAACATATAGTCACATAAAGTAGGTCAGTACTAATGTCACCAAATAAATATATGTGCAGTTTATAAATTTTCTTTTTATAAACATTTACAACAACATAAATAATGGCAATGAAACAAAATTTGAAGAAATAATCACTAGTCATTCATAAGTATATTTGTTAATTGCAAAGTCTTATACACAAGATTTATTTTTTAAAATGACAACCAAATTTTAAAACTATTACTGTACATGAACTTCAATTATTTAACGACTATTCAATCTCACTACTATCGTCACCAACGTCACCTCTTGTTTCATATCCTTCATTTTCTTCACTCGGATTTCATCAACATCATCATTTGCATCTCCATTTAAGTCAACCATTGTTGCTCCTTCTGCATGCAGATTCACGCGTTCTGTAGATGCCAAATTGGAACTATGCTCATTCGATTGTGTGGATGGTGGCTCCTCATCTTGGAATAGTTTTCCATATCAAGTGAGGTTGAAGAAGCGTTGACCAAATGTCTAGCACGTATTTTGCATGCGGCGAACCATCCATGAGTTGCTCGATTATCTGATGAGTAACTACTGTAATACACTTGCGTTGCTTGACACGCAAAGCAAAATGGCTTGCCGATCAACAATTGATATTGTGGGTTGACCTCAACAATGTTGTAAACTTGGTTAATGCGTGTTCTCCTACGTGTATCGAACCAGTTACAATTGAATAAGACAATTGTTTGCATTTGCACATATGGTGCATAATACAATAGTTCAATGACTTCGTTAAAGATGCCATAATAATCAATCTCAGCATCATCAAATATGGTTGTTCCTTTCACACATACACAACAGTTATATATTTGTCTTTCACTACTGGCTTTTTATGTCATAAATCTAAAACTATTGACATAATAACCTCTATACACATTCACTGTCCATGATGGACCCAGTGCAAGGTATTGCAAAACATCATTCCCTTCATGATAGTCATTTAACACCTACCAAATTTATATGTACGTGTTATTAGTCAAATTTATAATATTTTCGTTAAAAACTCAATTAGTTAATATATTGTATATGACTATATATGTATAGGTATATAATAATATTTGAAACAACATGACACGATGAAAAATATTGTTTACCCTATCTTTGAACTACATAACAAAACTTCTTGTGCGTGCTTCGTGTAGAGTAGAAGGGGTCATATATACACCAACTTCTCAATCAAAGATGCTGAAATATGGAAACAATTATGTGTGACCAAAAAATGGCATGTTGAACTTTCTTGCTATAATTCAGCAAGCTTACTTTAAAAATTTAATAAAAAGGAGTTTAGTTTGTCATATCTCATCTAAGAAACGCATCAACTTCCCTACAGTTTAGTAGGACATAAAGTTTAGCTGCCTTCATCTCTTGAGTGGTTAGACAGCGTGTCTGTGAATATGAACCCATTTGATGACCAGGGCACGCGAATATCCAGAATTCTATGTTCCTATAAAATGGAATTGTTGCAAAATTCCTTGGGGGCTTACTCCAACTTGTTTCAAGATGCGCACCAAAATATCGTGAGCAAAATCCTGTTATTTCATTGAGAATGTATGCTTCGACAATGGATGCCTCAACATGATTCTTGTTCCTATTGTTTGTTTAAGTTTGTGCATTTGTCTGTAAAATTTGAAATTAGATATGAGCATAACAAATTATTATAGATTCTATTATACTTGAAACTAGTGCATGAAACTAGTGCAAACTTGTTTCCATTACTGTTCACATGGGTACATCCATCGAAATTGTACAGGCCCACCAATTCGCGCCTCGAAAAGGAGATGGATTGCTAGGTGCTTCGTACAATAAAAAAATGATGGTGGGAAGATTCTTTCCAACTTACATATTATTTCAACTATCTTCGTTTCTCAAACTGCCATGTCTTTTATGTTGACATTTGGGGAACATAATGCACGGAAGAAATTACTTACTTCTATTAATGGACCTCATATAGAATCCGGTAACAAGCCACAGAAAGCAATTGGAATAAGGCGTCGCATGAATATGTGGCAATCCTGACTCTTCAATCCAACTAAGCATAGCTTAGCTAAGTTCACACAACGTGCGATGTTAGATGCAAACCCATCTGGAAATCACACATTTTTTAGCCATGTACATAGACATCTTTTTTTATCCGTGTCAAGTGCATAACTTGCATTTGGCTTGCAAAGCGACCAAGAACTATCATAGTACAAGTGTAGTTCTTCCCTATCACAGTACAATGGTAAGTCCATTCTTGACTTAACATTGTCTTTTGAGGACGAGTCATTCATGACTGTGTGTATGATGTTGTCAAAAAAATTATTCTCACAGTGCATGACATCAAGATTGTGTCTGATCATGTTATCCCCCCAGTATGGGAGTTCCCAAAAGATACTCCGTTTGACCCAATTGTGTGTTTCATCGAACTCGAGAATAGTTTGGTTTATTGATGGATTTCCAAATAAAATATCAGGTAGTGCAGCAACTCGAAGTTGAATGGAATGACCATCTAATCGTGGAGAAGGGGGGCCAAATTCTGGGTGGCCCTTAAGGAATTGAGATTCATCCATTCTAAACGAGTGTGATGGAGGAAGAAACTACTGATGACAGTCAAAGAAGCAGATCTTGCGACCATACTACAAGTAAAAAACACGAGTCATTTCCATGCAATATGGACAAGACAGACGACCATGCGTGCTCCATCCAGAAACCATACCATAGCCAGGGAAATTCGTTATGGTCCACATAAGCATGGCTCGCATTGTGAAGTTCTGTTTACGGAAGCTGTCAAATGTTTCTACCCCCGACAACCATAACCATTTCAGGTCATCAATAAGTGGATGGAGGAAAACATCGATGTTTTTTCCTGGACTTTTTGGTTCAGAAATAACAGAAGTGTAAGGAATGTAAACTCAGGTCGCATGCACATCTCAGGAGGAAGATTGTAAACAACAATGAAAACAGGCCAACAGAAATATGACCTCGAAGAATGACCCCACGGGTTAAACCCATCTATTGCAAGACCAAGACGGACAATTCGCGGATCGGATGCAAATGAAGGATGAACGGCATCAAAGTGCTTCCAAACAGTAGAGTGAGCAGGATGAATGAGGATCTCCGAGTCAACACGACATTTAAGGTGCCATGTCATATGCTCAGCGGTTTTACGAGACATGTATAGCCTATGTAAGCATGGAATAATAGGTAGATACCACAAAGAATTCCTGGGGCTACCCTTTTTTTGAGTTTGAACCGAGTTGCTTTTTTTACACGTAGGTTCACCACAAACTGGACAAGCATTAAGTGAATTAGCCTCATCACCATAATACAGAAAGCAGTTGTTGACACATGCATCAATTTGGACATAGCCTAAACCTAAGTTTTTCATGAATTTTTTTGCTTCATAAAAATTTGATGGTACTTTTTGCTGATCTTTCGGACTTAACAATTGCTTATAGCCCCGAATGATGTCATTGTAACCAACACCAGTTACGTTGTTTTTGGCTTTGTAGTGCAGCATATATGATAACCATCCAAACAATGTTTGATTATTAGATGATGGTCTAAGTGGGATGGTTGAAGCACGCAAAAAGTCATAAAAAGATTGTGCATGTCTATTTGGCGCATCCCCAACATTTTCAAATGCAAACTCTATTTCATTTCTAAGGCGATCATTCTCAGATGGATAGAATGCATCATAAACCATGTGATGGATATCATCCTCAGCATTAACATGTTCCTCAATATTAACATGTTCCTCAATATTACTTGAGGATGCCACATCACTTGCGGTTAACCATGGATCAACATTGTTACTTAAAGTTTCACCATGTGCCCACTACACAGAATATGCATCCATGAAACCATATCTCAACAAATGGTCTGTTACAGTTGCCTTGTTGTGGTGAGGTAAATTTCCACATTTACTACAGGGGCAACGAATTTCAGCATTCAAGTGAACACCATGACGACTATAGACGAAATCAAAAAATTGTTGTAATCCATTAAAGAATTCGGCATCACAATCTCCACGAGGATCTCGTCGCCTATACATCCAACGACGATCATCTATCATCTTTAACTGAATAATACAATTAAGATTTTAAGTAAATTAATCATTATTAAGGTAATAATAGTAATTATATAAGTATGTGCAATAGACAAAGAAATGGGAAAACATAACAACTAGTGCATAAAGGCTGCAAACACTGTTTTCAAACCAGACTGGCTCAGTCGGTTCAATCAATTGAACCAAAACTGATTCTATAAATGGGTCGGTTTATGATATTTATCCGTTGGACGTCAAACCTGGTCAAAACCCGATCAAACCCACTCAGACCCAACCAAACCAGTGAAACCCATTCAACTCGGTCAACTCAATCAACCAGATTAAAACATTTTTTACATTTTCAATTTATTCTCTATTTTTCTTTAATTTTTATTTTCTATGTTGGTAATTAATAGATAATATAATAATTAAATTGTAAAATCTATTTAAAACCAAATCACAATTAAGGAATGAAATTTTTTAAATTTATTTAAATGTAATTTGAAATTAAATTACTATTTCAAATTATAAAGTGGTTGTAATTTAAAATAAATCAATTTGATTTTTAAAATAAAATAAATAACAACTTTATATAATGAAATTGATGAAATCAACTTAAAATTAAA